CACATTAAGAGATACACGTATTTATGATACGATCGTCAGGGAAGTTTGTAAACAGACCGGCCTTCAGTCGGGCTGGAGCAGAAGTCGGGCTTCGGTAAGGCACGGGTAACATATTTGAAGAAAAACTTCGGTCTTGGGTCAAATACTCCTCTACCATGATCCTTAAGGATAATTTAATTTCAAATAACAGCGATTAGATTCTGCACAAATAACACAACTTCCTTATTTCTATTTGCCAGCCTCCAAGGACCAGTTATGAAATGCCTCGACGCACAGGATCGTTACCGACGTGGAACTGCAATTTGCAGCTTCCGATAAGCCAGCTTGTGACGCAGTAGATTACAATACAGACGTTGTGTTGCGTCTCGCTGTAATTTGTGTTTTCACTGGGCGCTGCGACCCATTATTTTCATTTAGACCCTGCGGCGTCCATTTCACCTGATAACACGCATAACATGTTCTGTATTACGACCAAGCGTGACCGATGACAACAACAACAAAAATCTATGCAGCAAGGAAGGATGTGCTAATTATTCACAGCAGACAAGTCGGTGTTGCTTCATGAGCAGCAAAAGCAGAACAGAGAAACTGCTATCTTTGCAAGTCAACAGTGTACGGAAAACTTGCAGGTAGATCGAACTTGTTCCCTGACGCTTTCATTGCATTAACGCGGTGTCCCCCCCCCAAAAAAAAACACCATCATTTGTCAAAGACACATGACAGCGCACCACAAAATCTCGCCTCATAAAAAATACGTAGAAAACCAAACATGACCACAAAAAACGTCCACATGTAAATACTTGCCCTATAAAATGCATGTTTAATACAGAGTCATTAAAGAGGGGTCACCATGAGGAAGCACACTCTCACACAACAATTAGTCGAACACGATCGACTATAGTGTCGAAATGAATGGGGGGGGGGGGGTGGGGGGTTCCAGTTCCCTATAGTAGACTCAAAATATCTGCGAGCGTGAGCAACGTCACATTATGAGGGGAATGGAAGATTGAAAGGCAAGGGGGAGATCAAGACGCCGTACGCTGTCGCGTGGCGGCCTCTTCAGATGTGCTTCCTGCCTGGAGGCTGCACGGCACACGGGCCTCAGAACCGCCATTTTGTTGGAAAGCAGACGATGCAAGAACGCGGAGATGTCAGTTGCCTAGATCTGTGACACACTCCCGTCCCTTAGAAGCAACATAAAAAAGCGCATTGTCTCACACTTCCGGAAACACGCCAATCTCGTTCACAAATCGGAGACTGTACCAACCTCGGGTTCACTCGGAAGAACAGGAAAATCAATCACGACATTTTATTCATGCCTGCAGGTTTTCGCGGCTCCAGTGCATCGTATAACTTCGGCTTCCAGGTGACAACCGAAGTTATACAGAGCGTTTTACGACTTTCTATGAAAACCATGTCATGCACGCTACAACCAGGGTAGACGACTGAATTAACAAAGATCGGGGAATATTTTCATCCTCTTTTTCTTATAACACTGGAAGATCATTTGACATGGACTTCCTGAGGTTAAAAAACAACTTAAACACGTTCCACTGCATGGTACAGTAAAGGTTAAATTGTCCTTGGTGCTTAATTATTACTCCATGAAGACAAACGTGAGAATGGAGGCATGACTCCACGCATTCTTAATATATGTACTGTACATGTGGAGATGACTCGTGAAACTTCAGTAGTAATGGACTACACACTGACTTGGTGTCTGTAACACAGATCGGGGCCACCAACTAGCGCCCGCTGATATTCTGTGCGGCCAGCGAAACTTTGTTGTAATAAAGTACCAACCACATTTGAGAATTACCCCGTTCTTTACGGAATTGTAAGGTTCATTACTGTGTTAAAAAGAGCCCGTCACCGGTCCCTATTCTGAGTCCGATAAATCCAGTCCACAACCTGCTACTCTGTTTCCACAAGATCCTTCTTAACATTAATCCCCCATCTACGCGCAGGTCTTCCGAATGGTCTCTTCTCTTGAGGCTTTGCACAACTGTGTACGATTTTCTCATCTCTCTAGTGACAGCTACATGCCCGGCTCACTTACTTATTGGCTTGGAGGTTCGCAGCATCATCAATAAACTACAAGAAGTTTCAGTAAATTGTCGTTTTCTACCCTGCGGCCCCCCAAGTCGATAAGAAAGGTAGGTGTGACTCCAGGTCCTAAGAAGTCTGCGAAACCCTGATACAGATGCTAATAAAATAAGCATGCAAATAGGTCTATCCACTTTCAAGCAAAGCTCTTCAAACCCTGAGAGATACTGACATATAATACTTCAAACTGAATATTGCAGACTGTATTCCAATAACGGACTAAAAATGTCATAATTTATACTTTCACGCAAGAGGCCAAGAACTCGTCATGTCTCCGAAAGTCTACTGATTTACATCTATTACTTAGAGAAAAATAAATATTTTACTCTCTAAGATAACAGGACCAACATTATTACGTCCATAATATAGGTCTATGTGTATTGCAAGTTCAATAATAAAATGGCAACATGCACGCGAAAGTTGAGTAAAACGTCCTTTACAATTATATATACGCACGCACGCACATACACACACAAAATACATGCATTCTTACATAGATACAAGTAATGAAGACATGCTAACAAGAAAACTTGCTGTTGAAACACCGAAGCAACCAGTACTGCACCGCCCACACATTATTAGACCGTAAATAATTGTTATCAGCAGTTGTGGTTCCACATTATGTATGAGTGAACGCTACACTGAATTCGTAACACAATTCTTAGTACACTTCCTCCTACCGCCAGCGTAAGTAACAAATATTGCTTCCACTTAGCATAGCTGTACGCATCCTTCTTATCACTGACATGGCCCTGTTGTGACGATGGCTCGTCTGGCTTGTACCGCCGTGTAGTGTGAAAAATGTTTACCGACGTTTCAGAAGTACTTGCTGCCTCTATCATCAGGGCGATCTCATCACATGTACAGCACAAAAAAACCTGAAACGTCTGTACACATATATCAGACTACACGGCGCTGCAGCCCAGAAGACAGCCAACTTCATACTCGCCGCCGAGAATCTGAAATCCCTACAGAGTCCTACTACTTCACTACAAAATGACTGCAGCAATTACTTGCCAACCTCTGGGTTTAAATTCCTCAAAATACCCCTCGATTATCAAGAGCAAACGGGTTAAGGAGAGTAGGGTTAAAGGAACCGCGACTGCAGTTAAAACGCACCAATGTGTAACGGAGTTGCCAGCTTCTTAACTAAGCACACAAAACACAAAGCAATATTTTTGAAAACAAATTAAACACAAAGTATAAAAGACTTTCACAAAAGGGCGCCCCGCTGAAATGCATAAAGTTAATTTCGGTCGCCATCGCAGTCTTGTGGGTCTCTTAGCGCGTCAGCCACCGAATCCATCCGCGTGCACACACATTAAAACAAGCTCGGAAAGTGTATTCCGCAGCTTACCTCAGGACTTTCCCCATCCGTCGTTCCTTTATCACCGCTTGCACGATTTTTAGAACTGCAATTTTTTTGAGATCGTGCAGAATAGCACAACCTCCATTTCAAATTTCAACCAAATCTGTCTAGTGGCTCCCGGGCAAGAAACGACCGAATAGAAGATGTCCGTAATATTTGGGTTAAGGTTCTAAAGAAATCCACGACCAGATACAACCATTTTAAGTAACGTAAGTAAAATGTGAAATCCTTATGCTTAAACGAGCACTACTCCACAAAGACAGAGTATGGGGGAGCGGACGGAAACCAGTAGATTAATACATTTTTAACCTCCGCAGTTGATGGAGGTAAGTAGATAGCTTCACGCCCCGGCACCTTTACTCCCAAGGAATGAGCAACTGATACCAGGCGGATAAGAGGGTTCGTGGGCCTCAGAGCCGGTCTGGACGAAATGACAACGCGACATTAATAAAAGCCATTTTTATACAAATATAATCACGTAACTTTATGCGCATTGTGTCATTCTTGCATTAATGTGAAACCAGGTCGCCGCTACGTCTCAGGTCATTCTTGCATCAATATGCTCCGAGGCCCAGTGTTTAAAAAAGCGACACACAAACATGGACGGGGCCACGAGGTGTTCTTCGCTAACGCCAGAGCCGAGAATCGAACCCAGGTCGTCAGGCCACGCCCTAACCATTATGCTGCCACGGCTATAGCACCTACAAGCCCCATTGAAACACAAGCGAGGAAACACCGCAGTTTCACTCAGCTCAATTACATTCTGTCGTACTTTGAAATGGAAAGTGTAGTAAAGTTATTGATTTACCTTCAATCCGTCCGGGAACGTAGCTGATGTCAGAAGTGCCGGCTTCTGTTCGTCTGAAAGAAAAAAAGCAACTTCAATTAAAAAGAGTCAAACTGCTTAAGAAGTTGAAGTTACTTTCACCTCCGCTGCATTACGTCAAAGTAACCTAAAAGCCACACATTTCCTAATTCGCATTATATCGTATTAACGCTGCCATCTTCACGGTATTCAAATCTAGATCCTCGGATAGGATGGGAACAAACAATGGGTTTAAAGTGTTGGCGAGGAGTCAAAACAGGTTGTAGGGATGTGATCTGGACTGAAATTGCCAAGTATATGACTAAATGGCAGACTGCTATGTCAACAATGTTGAAATTTAGGGGTTTACGAGAGTGCTCGTGCAAACGTGTCTCAGATTTATTCTACTACTAGATTTCTTGGTCGGGCATTATTCACCATGAAAGGTCTGTAGCTACCTTTCGTTTCCTGCCATGTTGTAGCACATTTAATTGCAATACGTTATTTATTTGTGGTGTTCTGTCTGACGACAGGTCCATATGAACAGGATCCTTCCATCCTTTTCTCGGACTGGGACCTGTTCATATACGTTCTTGGCAGATGATCCAGAAGTGGTTTGCCATTGCCTTCTTCTGTGTGTGAAGGGAGCAATTGTTGGGATGCCACGGAGAAACCGGGGAAGCCCCCGGAGGAAAACTCCGTGTTGCCTAGACCACGGCCTTGCCCAACACAAGTTATAAATTCGGGCACCGCCGGGAATCGAACCCGAGACCCCAGGATTACAAGGCCAGCGTTCTAACCGCTAGACCACCGTGGCGGATTTAATTGCAATACGTTATTTAAATTCGGCTCGTAACTCAAAAACAGCTGATCAAAGTACGAAGAGATAGGGACATCGAAAAAAACGAGCGGTATGCGTCGCTCTGCATACTGATCATCCAAGTTACATATGAAGACTGCCTCAGGAATGCGTCTTCTCTTCGAACAGACCATTTCGTCTTGTTCACACTCCATGCCACTTGCACGTAATTCCAAAGGCAAATTCTAGCGGAGACAGCGGTGACCAAGTTATGGAACCTCTTCTTCAACAGTTTCTTAAGACAGCAACAATCTGTTTAAATTGTGGTCTTCTGGGTTGTTACGGACTGTTGTATTGAGAAAATTATAATAACTTTACACTAAGTAGGATTTGAGGTTTCACGGCGGTGAGTTCAAAGATGGCTGTCATCTAGAGTTGTAGCACCGTATGGTCTGGTCAAACTTTACCAAAAATTTCAGAGGTCCTTGCGCCAAAGACCTCTGGCAGCCATATTCTAACTTTACACTGTTCGAAAAATTAAAGACAACAACCAGAAAAATTAAAACACAAATCCCAGGAATCTCTCTGTAACTTTAACAGCACACAAAATAATTTTTGATTAAACAACAGATTCATTTCCACTTCACATGTAACTTCGCACTTTTATTTAATAATTCTGGTTCCAGGTACCTATAAACTCAGAGAGTATTAATGCTTTTAAAAATCTTGATAGCATTCTACAGACTTGGAATGAGCATCACCATGAAGTCCAGTTCAGAACATTTCGACTGGGATAGATCGATAGTTTCATTAGTTACACCGTGCAAACGCTGTCGAGTTCTACGTTCGTAGTAGTACAAGTAATAATCGCTTTCCCCACAATAATGACCAATTTGAAATTCCATTTTACATTTTAATCGATTCCATTAGGTTGGTTTTCGAATACATCGCTCTGTGGCAAAGCATGTCAAACTGATGTCATTCAGATACACGAAATTTAAAGGGATATTTTCAAATTAAAGCGTTGTGTTACGTTGCACTAAGTTCAAATTCACTTTAAATCATGCATTTTAAAGCACAGTGGCGACAAATAATGAAAGTAAAACAACACAAGGAAATACAACTATCGGAATTCTAAAAAGTGTATGTAATCGCAGGTCTAAAAGAGGGTCCACTCTTTAAAGCACTCCCTCCTAAACATAAATTCGATAACTATTATTCAAATATTCTTCCTCAAAAAATTACTAACTTTCAGAATAACAATAATTCTGTGCTATAATGATCCTTGCAAAGACAAAAGTTACAAAACGTGTTGTATTTTCGAGGCCATTTCTGGTGACAGCCTTCGTGAAATATTTCTTCTGTAACAGAATTAATTACTTACACCACATACTGAAGTTTCTTAAATAAGCAGCCTATGAAGATAGCGAGGCATTTATAATAAATTATGATTTCCTTGAACTGCTCAAGGAATATCACGCGCGCCTGAGCTGCATGGTGAGTACTTCTATGCAGGCCTGATAACAAAAGTGAGTAACGACGAGCTTATTTCGAAGTGGCCACTTCCCTGAATTCTGAATTCAAGTTTGATAAAACAATTTCCGCGAACAACGCATGAGCAAAATCTGATCAGTTCAAGCGTCATTTAAAGAATATAAAAAATATTACAATCCTTACTTAGGCAAGACATAAACTCAGGCCTGATAAAAACGTATATTCAATCGAAATTCTATTAAATATTTATATAAATATGGAAAATTTAAATTGTCAAAGTTCCAGAATGGCCGGTTAAATTGATTTAAAATATCGGCAAGTACAAAGCACCTGAAAAAATTAATTACTTACGAAAAGACTGCACTTTCAAATAACAGATTACTGCATCATCATAAACCGTGATCATAAATTACAGCATAATTTCAGATTTACAGCGAAGAACTCGAAATGTGGGAGGGGAAAAAAGAGAGAGGCAATTTTAAAACATTTACAACATGCAATCAGACTACAGAATATTCATGTTCGAGCTTATTAGTACAGTAGTCGGGATAAAATTGTGCGTTCAACTTTCTTTAGAAGTAAAACACGAAGGTGTTCACAAGCATGTGTTGGCTTGCTGTAAATATTACTTCCCAGAGGCAGAACTTTGTAGCTCGCTGTCTCAGGTAATGTTTCTCGTTCACATAGTACATGCGTTTTTTTTTGTTCTACCCGCAGGATAGTGACAGACAAAACGCACGGTTTGATCCCGACTACTGTAACAACCTTGTGCCGGTGTACAATAGCGGAAAAATGAACTGCTTTAAGCTAAGAACAAGGCCAATACACGACGTGCCTTTAATTACACATTTCCGTAGCAAAGCACGAAATTCTGTCTCTATAGGCCTGCACCGATGAATTAGCAACTTCTGTGAACTTCACCGCGGTTTCAACTGAACATCAGAACCTCTTGGAGCGATCCCGAATTCACTGTTATATCTTTGCAAACTGTTTCAGAAGCAGTTTTCGAAACCTCCATATGAAACGCGCTTTCTGAAGGCCACGCTACTTCTCGAATATGAACCACCAGATCATGCCGGTAGAAAGTTTACGCTAGTTAGTTTAATGTAACCTGTTTCGCCTCAACAGCTTACCAACTATGGTAAACACCAGGGCCGAAGCGATTATGTTAACCGTGTTGGCCCGGCGAACTCTTAAAAAACAAAATATAAAAAGCTTCCTCTCTTGATTTCGTGATCCAGTAGTACTCCATACAATGGAACATAGCAAAACGAAACAGGCATCGTTGGCCATACAGCTGTGGCTTACGCTCGTGGCGAGAGTCACAAGGCCCTTTTAATAGCTCAAAAATATAGATAACGCCAACAGAGATAACGCTAAGTAAGTGGTGATAAACCGATCGTTATAATAACCGTGTATCATAATAACTTATCAATTACAAACAAAACTGCATCCAAAATCCTTCCTTAAAGATTAACTACAAAATCAGACGAAATTAATGGTGATAATTAGCGTCGATTTCAACGTAATCGATCCTATACTAATCAGAAAATGCGAGTAGAATGGGACAATACATTGGCTATTTATAGACTTCAAGAAAACCTATCACTTAATCAAAAGGAGCGTATTAGGCCTATACAACAGTCTCACTGAATTCGATATGCCAATGGAACCAGTTAGGATAATTAAAATGTTTTGAAATAAACCTATAGTAAAGTCTATATTGGTAAAAAAAAACATGTTACGTTGCCTATTCAGAATGGTTAAAAAGATGACGCGCTGTTATTATCAATTTTCAACTTTGCATCAGATTACAGCATCACCAAAGGGACATATCAGCTTTTGATCAACGCTGATGACATTAATTTACTCCGAGAAGACATATCATAAATAAAATCACACAGAAGCTCTGTTAGAGGCTAGGAAGGACGTTAGTAAACCCACAAAAGATGACGAAAATATCCATGTCTTAGTAAAATCAAGTCGAAAACATTTAACGTTAATGCAGGAAAGCCCAATGTCTAGGGTGAGGTGGGCCGCTTTATACTATCGAACATCGTTCATACGCCATTTTCAATGAGGAGAAACACATACAGTTGCATGGTTTGTCCAATGATGTAGCCGTGAACGGTGAAAAGTTTGTTTTCCTTACTGAACGACGTCATCCCCCCCATTCAGAAACTGAAAGATGGCGTTTCACTTTCCAATCTGTTACTAAAATAAAGATATGCTCTGCTTCTTAAGATTCCTCCTTTCGTACTGCCGGAATATCACGAAGCACCAGGCACTCCTCGCTCCAGTAATTCTTTCGGTTCAGTGATTCCCAAACACCTCAAGTTAGAGACGACATGGTTCCAAGCAATTGCAACCACCGCAATCATAAAACAATGAACATGCTACTAATTGCGACTATATTGCAAAAAGTGTTAAGAAAACAAACTCGACGTCTCTCGCTCTTCAAAAATAAAGTTATCTAGCAAATAAATGTTTCCATTCCTCAACACAAATAGTTACTGGCTAAAAACAAGTTAGGAAATGTACGCTTATAAAGGCAATCAGGGATCGATCTTCAGAAGCTGACCTCTGACCTTTGTAAATGAAGCCAATGTCTGGGGTCAACGACATTTAACCCCGCATCATAGTACCTACGAGACTGTTAGCAGCTCCCGGAGTGGTGTGCGAATTAAATCATTTCCATTTACAGCAACAAAATCCTAACGACTTAGTGTAATAATTCGAGAAAAAGCAAAAACTCTTCACGTT